AGAATCTTAATTACCTGGGCCCAGTCAGTTCAGCGATGATACCTCAAGGTCGTCATCTTTACACACATAAAAAAAAGGAGGAGAGTCAGTAGACTTTCTTGTTGTTTTCACATTCCTAATTTAACTTTTCTCGATGCCTTCTCTATGTGTTCCTCAGTTTGTCGACGACGTGGAGTTTTGGTTCCCTCCTGGCGATCGATCATTGGTGGAGTACAGGTCCGCTTCCCGGCTGGGAGAAAGCGACCTGGATATCAACCGTAAGAGAATCAAGGTGAGTTCCAGAGAAAATGAACCATGGTGGGTGTATGGAGAAGGGGTTTGGGGGTTCAAGAAGGAGTTTCAAATTGGTGGTCTAGAGACGAGAAAGAAAAGCAAAATCATCACCCTGAGGATTCATATATCGTCACAGACACACACACACACAGAGAGAGAGAGAGAGAGAGAGAGAGAGAGAGAGAGAGAGAGAGAGAGAGAGAGAGAGAGAGAGAGAGAGAGAGAGAGCCTCAATTCATCTGCAGCAGCCAATATGTGTGTGTGTGTGTGTGTGTGTGTGTGTGTGGAGATGTGAGTGTAAACACACAAAGTCTAATATCCCCAACATAGTAAAAGACCACACACAGTACCCTAAGGCTTAACCACACCTGACGTCGACGACAAGACACATCTGAGTGGGTTGAGTCCAATGCCTGTTCTCAGCGTTCTAGAGCCAAGCAAACACAGCAGACAGCAGGGAAGCAAATTTAAAGCAGTGAGGCAAGACATAGTAGGCTGGACGGAGGGCACGAGGGAGGCGGGAGCACAGACAAAACACAACCACACAAAGCAGGGAAACAACAACAACAACAAAAACAAACAGCAGAGTCTGACAATAAATGTACAAATCCCTGAAGAAGAAAGAGCCAGAAAAATAAAAACGGATGATGAACGATTGTTTCGTCGGGGTTGCACCGGCTCATCAGGAGGCTGATCCCTCCATAGTTTTCGGAATCCCCTGATTGATGCTTTGTGTCTTGACTCTTGAACCCTTTGAACCCTTGTTTAAGGGTCAGATCCCACTACCCTGGATTATTCATTTTTCACCGTAGATTACGGAGATCAACGGTCAGAAATGAACAATAGGGGCTAGTGGGATCTGGCCCTAAAGCAGACTCCCAGGAAGCACTGCCATATTAAGCGGAACATAGTTGCATTCATCTCCTCAGCGAAGCACCCGGCAGTGCTGTCGGGGTCGGCGCAACTCAAGTGCACATTGTCAAGCTGAACGCCTATTAAGCCAATTGCGCTGAAAAACAGCGCAAGCGGACGGGCAGCAAGCGGACGATAGCGAGGCCGCTCAACTACACAACGCCTACAGTCTTCCCCCGAATACAACGTACGGTCATTATAGCTGAATTTAGACGGAAAGATAGACCAAATTCAGCTGTAATGACCGTACGTTGTATTCGGGGGAAGACTGTAGTAAACTAACTGTACGGAACGACAGCGCAAGCGGAAGTGGGGGAGCAAGGCAACAACACGAAGAACACACAAAGGAAGCAGTGAGCAGTGCTGCAGAAAAGCCAAACTACACAGCACACAAACAAAACGCACAGGAAGACAATGCACAGTGCAAGCGGACGGGCAGCAAGGAAACCATGCAGCGAAGCACAAGGGAAAGTTAACACAAACAACGCAGCCAAACTACCACCAGACTCCAGCTGCAAAGAACGACACGAGGAACATCATGACTTGCCGTATGTAGGGAGGCATCAGGTTGCGCCCTGGAAGCACAAGGAAGCACAAGGAAACACAAACAACGCAGCCTATGTCGGGAGGCATCAGGTTGCGCCCTGGAAGCTATGGCGTGGTCTCGCTGAGAAGCTGAATCCCCTAATCCCCTTCCACGTCGGAGATGGAAGAGCGCGCGATGGCGCGCGACGAGATGCTTCGAAGTTCAAACCGAAAATTTCCCGCCGTGCGCGTGCACGGACGTTGCTGCTCAGCGCTGCGCTTCATGCGGGCAGCGTTAGCAGTCGAAAAGACTCGAAAGTTGGCGCTCGAAAAGCATACATAAAACTGATTGTGTGTGTTTAAAAAAAATAAATAAATAAAAATAACCTCTCTCATTCCATCAGAAAAAAATCCAGAAAGAGGAAATGCATACATTATAAAACTGATTGTGTGTTAAAATAATAATAATAATAATAAAACCCCCTCTCGTTCCACCCAAAAATCATCACAAACCATCCATGAAACAAAAAAAAAAGGTTGGCCACGTCCGTGTCCCGTCTGCCGTCAAAGCGGCACACTTGCACAAATGATATATGTATCATAGATTCATAATGTATGTACATATCGTCAAACAGAACTTCCCGGGAAACCGTAGGCAGAGAGGGAGAAGAGGACAACAAAAGATGGGTAGTGACAAACTGTTTCATCGGAGTTTCACTGACTCATCACGAGGCTGAACCCTGAAAAATACAGTCTGCAGAGTCCCCTAACTGATATATAATATATATCGTCATAAAAATTATAATCCATCGAAAAGGATGGAGGGTAAAGGGCAACATTTGAACATACTGAATTAGTTGTAGGGAAAAAAAAAAAAAAAAAAGAATTAGTTGTAACCTTGTACGGAATTTGTACCACAACGCAGAAGGCCCCATCAAGAAGAAAGCACTGACCAGGGTTCATCTGGACAACCGAGTGGCCGAGTACTGTAGGTGACTGCCATGCGTCTAGTATCCCACCTCTACAACAAACAACGTGGGCTTAAAAAAAAGAAAAAAAGAAAAAAAAAAAGCACTGACCAGATCCGCCATCGGTCTGAAAAAAAAACTATTTTTTTTTCTTTTTTTTTTCGGTCTGAAAAAAACTTGGAGAGCCTTCGGAGTCTGTCCACAAAGTGTCATTGGATCAGTACCTCTGGGCCTCAGCCCTCCTCCGTGCAAGCACGGACTAGAACTGGAGGCCTCGGCCTCAAGAGCCAAGTATCGTAACCACTACAGCCAGGACACGGTGTTCAAAAGCGGCACCTTACTGGCCGCGATATCTGCCCCACCCCTCCAAGGCTGTAGTGTCCAAACTCAACGCACACCACACACAACACCACACGGACGCTGGCAATCACCGCACACTTCGCTCCAAGTAGCACATGAAGCCACAAAATTAACTGCACAAGAACGAGAACACCCACACTGCTATAATTCATCCCAAAGGACCCACCCACGTCACCATCATCTGGATCACCCCATGGCTAAAACAACCTGAGCCTCCCCTTCTCTCCGCTTTATCCGCACGAGTGCGCGTGCGCTTGTGCATGTGCATGTGCATGCGCGTGCCTCCATGTGCACATCCATGTGGGTGTGCGGAAGCTTACCAAATTTTTAATGTTAGAAAATGCGGCGGACGCGGCATGTTTTGAAACTCTAAAGGCACAAAAAACTCCGTCGGCAAAGAGAAAGCACGCCACGGCAACACCAAATGAGCGAAGCGATTTCGGTCCAAAAGTACCCGTTGGCCATTTTTATTTTATTTTTTCCCCCTCTGACACCACGGTCGACCGCTGTAAATAAATATGACACCCGGTCTGACACCACAGCCGTCGGTGCTTACATTGCCTTTTCTAACTCGGCGCGGTTTTCTTTGCCGACGCGTGTCTTTTTTTGCCCGTTCGATACTCCAAGGTGACGTGAACGTACTTACCACTTATTAATTGAAGCCACATTCGTTCGAAAAAATCCTAGTGTAAGTACACATGCGTCGTGCCCTTATATATTTTATGATAAACGGCAGCAATGGCATCATCAGCAACAATAACACTTCCTCCCCCCCCCCCAAAAAAAAAAAAGAAAAAARAAAAAAAAAAAACATGGTAACCGCGGACCCGGACACCGGACACTTCCGGACTGTCTTCCGGACCAGTGTCTGGACCGGTCCGGACTGTCCGGTGATCCGGACATCACCGGACACCGGACATAACCGGACACCGGACAGTCCGGACCGGTCCCCGGGGTGCAAACAATGT